AAAAAAAAAAAAGTTGTTTCCTGGTGCCAAGAAATTAAGGTAATCTGCCTCTCCCACCCTACAAAGAATGGCATCCAGGCTGGGCACGGTGGCACATGCATGTAATCCCAGAACTCTTGGGAGGCTAAGGCAGGAGGACTGCTTGAGCCCAAAAGTTTGAGGTTGCAGTAAGCTATGATGAGGCCACTGTAGTCTAGCCACTCAAGCTGGGGCAACAAACTAAGACTGTCTCAGAAAAAAAAATAAAAAGCATGATATAGTGACCTCCACAACCAGCAGGCAACATTCACCTATTCTCCTAAGTTGTTGATAGCACTTTTTTTTTTAAGACAGAGCCTCAAGCTATCCCCTTGGGTAGAATGCTGCGGCATCACAGCTCAGAGCAACCTCCAACTCTTGGGCTCAAGCGAGTCTCCTGCCTCAGCCTCCCAAGTAGCTGTAATCACAGGCGCCCACCACAACACCCAGCTATTTTGGTTGCAGCTGTCATTGTTGTTTTGGTGGGCCTGGGCTGGATTTGAACCTGCCACCTTAGGTGTATGTGACTGGCGCCTTAGCCACTTGAGCCACAGGAGCCGAGCCAATAGCACTTATTTTTCAAATGATGCTTAACATACTTGACGATGAAGGTTTTCAACCAAGCTACAATTGTCTCACTTATTAATGACCATATTCTCACTAGAAAGAAAATTATGCCATCTGGCATCTTCATGCCTTGTTGATACTTTCTTTAGAGCAAAGGACTAGTCAGTCGATAAGACCACTGAGCTCAAAACTTAGGGAAAATGTTTTTACTCAAGCTACTGTGACTAAAAGATCAAAGATACAGCCTCCAATCTGCTATGGCATGTTGAAACCCATCTACTAAAAACCCTTCTATACAGATTCTTTGTAGTTCACAAGCATGATGCTTGGGTTTTCACATACATGGATGACATGTGCCTCTCTCAAACCTTGTTATGATGACATCAGCACATTACCCATCCAACAGGAAGAAAAAAATAACCCCCATCCAAACTGACTCCTAATCCTCTGAGTCTCTTGAGAGCTGGCAACAGAGGCATCACTTCCCTTCTCCCCCTCCTTTAAAACAAATTCATTGTCTGAACTTAAAATCCTAGGAAAGGAACCCCTTACATAGTACAGACCAAGTCTACCTAGTACATCTCCAAGCCTATGGAGATATGACTGAAAGCCCTGACTTCATAGTGCAATACATCAATAACAAAATGCATTTGTACTCCACAAATACATACAAATAAAAAATAAATGGGAAAAAGAAAGAAATATTGAGCTTCTTAAAAATGTTCAGCCAACACTTAAAAACTGGAAGATTTCACATAAAATGTAGATTTACTATTTCTGATACTACAGGGGCCATATCAAACCAATTTGCAATAATCAATGCAGGAGTCAGCAAGGTATAGTCTGTGGGCAAATTCAGCCTACGGATGCCTTCCCACTGCCGTGCAGCAGAGCCCAGTAGCAACAGAGCCCGTGCAACAGAGACCTCACACTGCACTGCTCACAACCTCCACCGAACACTCACAGACTCTTTTTATCTTTTGTTTTCTTTTTTGCAAAGGCAATGACCTCTTTTGTATTTATATAATATCTCTACAACAACTTTTATAGTAGAAATTCAATTCAATAATATTTGCCAGTAAACATTTTTTCTGGCTCAGTGCCTGTAGCTCAGCAGCTAGAGCACCAGCCACATACACTGGAGCTGGTGGGTTTGAATCCAGCCTGAACCTGCCAAACAACAATGGCAACTACAACCAAAAAAAAAAAAAAAAACTAACCGGGCACTGAAGCTAGCAGCTGTAGTCCCAGCTACTTGGGAGGCTGAAGCAAGAGAATCGCTTAAGTCCGAGACTTTGAGGTTGCTGTGAGCTGTGATGCCACAGTACTCTACCAAAGGTGACAAAGTGAGACTCTATCTCAAAAAAAACACAACATTTTTTTCTAACAAGAATCAGTTGCAGTTGCATGAAAAAAAAAAAAAAGAATCAGTTGCATGTACCTTGTATTATACAAAAAAATTAAATCACTTCTAACAAAACCATGTACACAATTAATGGTGCATTAAATATCTACCCTAACATTCCTTTCTGTGGCTTTGGTCACCTCCTGGTGCGTATCAGCTTTCTGTGAGTCTAAGTATTTCTCCTCACTAGTTTACATAAAGAAATCATTTAACAGATATTCCAAAAATGCTCTATTAAATCCGACCCCCCAAAACAACAAAACAAGGTAGGACAGAAGCCACCTCATTTTGGTCATTGCTCATTATCCTTACATGAAATTTATAAAAACTGGGAGGGATGCTTTTAAATCTACATTTAAGACTCTGAGGAAGAATGTTAATACATACACACACACACACACACACAAATCCTATTAGAGAGAATCAATGTAATTTTATTTTATACTAGGTCAGTCTTATCAGGGAAGAAAAGTTTTTACTTATTTTCAACAGATCTTAAAATTAAATACCTAGAATAAGACTTAAATAACAAAATATACCAAGATACTGTCAGCATCACACTTGCAATCTGGTGTTAATAAGCACAAAAGCCACACCTGGGTACGCATCTCACAGATCCTCCTCCAGCCTTACCTGAACAGCGGTCAGTTTATGCCTTACATTCACTAGGATAATACGTGCCAACAGCAGCAGGATAGGCTTCAGGGTCAGGCTGTAGACTGATTCACCGTCTAGAGTGAGCAGGCTCAAAACAACTGCATCCAGTCCCCTGACCTGAAAAAGTTTGTAAAGTAAGATGATATAATTGAAAAAAATAACAACATTTATATGTCTTGTAACAATATGTCAATATTCTAGTTAATTCACCTTTGAAGCAAAGACATTACTCTATTATACAGCCTTCGCAGTGACAGAATTATAACATTACAGATACCCTTAGAGATCTACAAGCCTGGCCTGAGAGATGGCCACCCATCTGCTCAAATGAGGAACAGAGACCTCAAGAAAATGCTAGCATTGAAGAAGCATCACACGCTCACAGACTGGCTTACAACAAAACATCATCTTAATAAAAAGCATCCCTATCTTAGAGTATTGACATTAAATACTTTATTTATTTATTTATTTATTTATTTTTTGAGACAGAGCCTCAAGCTGTCCCCCTGGGTAGAGTGCC